TTTTTCAGTGCCATTTTTATTGGAATTCCACACATGCTTGTAAATACACACTTTTAAGTTTTCCTGTAAAAATACTACAATAGTTTACTTTTTTCAATACAAAATATTCAAAAATTCATGTTTTTATAATCATAGATAAGTTTACTTAAAGCCAATAGCCCCTACAATATAATAATGATTTTTACAATGTTCCTATTTACAATGATTGTTTATAATTATGTAAAGTTTTAACAGAAATATAATTATTGATTTTAATTTACATTATATGCCTCAACTAGGTGGACCTTATGGAGAAATGAAAACCTATTAATTTATCTATAAAATTTAAGTTTTTAATAAAAAATAATAATTTAAGATTAATAATCAAGATATAATTTATTTTATTTTTAAAGTCTGCCAACATTTTTACATATCAATAAGCAACCACAAAATTACAGAACTATCTATAACAAATAGATGAAATGGTGTACATAAAAAGTTTATTAAACATATGCATGCACTATCACACTTGTTTATCTAGCTCCATAGTTTTCGATTTCATTTTTTTTCTAGTAATTTTACATAATTTATATCATATGGATTGCTATGTTCTCATGAGGTAGATGAGGAATCTGGTGTTTGATACCCAGATTTTGTATATTTACTTCAGACGTCAGGGTGCTCATTGAAAGTATCCTTGTATCTTTGTGAAATAAATAATATTGGATAGAAAATTTTATATGCTTGAAGTGCTAGACAGTTAAAGATTAAAATTTTTTGGTACCTTAATATAAGGTATTTTTATAAATAATTAATGATAAAGCAAACATATCAATGGATTTACACAATTTATTATGTTCTTTACAGTCTATTGATAACTCACTCACAAACTCTTAAAATGTAGGAATTAAGAGTCACAGTGGATTGGAGTATTTAATATATTTCACATTGTAAATACATAAAAGTCAGATGAGAGTAAAGAAGAGAGTGACATAAAAAACAAAAAACAATGTATAAAATACTAATTCAAAAAGGTATACGAAAAGATGCCAGTGTCTGATTAATATAGAAAAAGGTTTTATCTACACCTCCCTGTCATCAGGACACTTATGTACACCCTTTATATCAACACACTGTATGTACAAAAACACTATATCAAAGGTACCTTAACACTGATGCCCTAACCTAATTAACCTAATAACACAAAACAAATAACACTAAACTAATCCTAAATTAGTTAGGCACATATAGTGTCTCAGCTTAGGCAGTGGCTTTGTGAGAATGTCTGCTGTTTGGTGAGCTGATGGTATGAATGACACATTGACTTGTTTAGTGGATATAGACTCACGAACAAAATGATGTCTAATATCAATATGTTTTGTGCGGGCGTGATGAATGTTGTTTTTTGTTAATTTAATGGCACTTTGATTATCACAATTAATGGTGATGGGTGACGAAAAGCAAAAGATGTCGCTTAGTAATGAGCGAATGTAGATGGCTTCCTTACAGGCTTCACTTAGAGCCATGTACTCAGCTTCTGTTGTTGATGTTGCAACGGTTCTCTGTTTACGTGATTCCCATGACACTGCTGAACCACACATTTGGAAAACATATCCTGTATAGGATCGTCTGTCCACCAGATTACCACCATAATCGGCATCAGCAAATCCGATTAGATCACCACTATTGTTATAGGTCAGTTTCCTATTTTTTATAGCCTTCAGGTACCGAAGAACAGGTTTCACAGCTCTCCAATGTACCGAGATAAAAACTTTTTCTATACAAACACTACAAATATGTTTGCCGAAGTTACTTTTGTAGGGCAAAATGTTTTTAATTATCAATTCTGAAGATGGATCAAGGTATTTTATTTCACTCAGCAATTGGGGGTACCTAATTGCACCTCTTAAGATTTTAAATAATATAAATTGTTTCACATCTATCATTAAACGCTAACTATCGATCATGAAAAAGTAGAAATTTGCAACTTTTTAGAAATCGTTAATTTTGACAGATGAAACGTTCGGATTTAGTAACATTTCAGTAGCGTTTCGATCCAACGAAGTGTCAAAATTTTAGTGGAATAAGGGCCGACGGGCCGACGATCGACTCAAGTATATGGACGTAGTTATGCAAACCAGCCACATGATGTCAGTTTTGAGAAAAATGGGTTTCTTGTTTTTACTTATAATTTATTGTAGAATATATTTTATTTTATTTATTTATCAAGAAGTTTTGTGAATTTACAACATGTGAGTTTAATTGCAACACTTTTAGGCTTCTCTGCACATAACTCGATTTTGACAGATTTGTGGGTTGGTTCCGGTTTGCATAACTACATCTATATAGTTCTATGTTCGATTGAGCGAGTAGAATACCGTTTACAGTTTCTGTCGATCGATAGTTAACTAAACTAAAATAGAACCGGAACTGTATCGTTTGACGCCATTTTGACACCGAGTAGAATAGGAAAACCACTAAAAGTTGTAGTTTCGTTCGGTTTCGTTCCGTTTTCGATTCGATTTAAACAAAATTTATTTACCAGGAAAAATAAACAACCCATTAGTAATTCAGTTCATAACTTACCTATTGCATTGTTTATTGTGTGGTAAACTATTCGTATAGGAGGAAAATAAAAAATATAACTGAGTTTATAATAATTACCTATTAATAACTCATAAAATCTTTCAGCGCCCAAAAGAATGTTCATGCAGGTTTCACTAAAGCAGAAGTGAATCACGAAGAACGTTACGTCAGTAGGTTTTGTGGTATTAATTATGTATGTAATGGATAGACTGATAATAATTATAATAAACTCTATTCATTAAGTATTTAAATCTGGTAATACTACACTTGATACTCTGGTAAACTACTGGTCAGAAGCAATAATATTACAAAATATTAAAAAACTGGTACCTAATTTAATTTAAATGCGATTTTTAAGAGAGAAAAAATGTAATCAACATGCTATAATTAGGTGGGTAGGTATTTAATGTTACAATCTGAGACTGCCGATGATAATGTTTACAATTATTATGATATATCTATATACCTCTTCTAAAGAGAGAAAAAATTGATTATTTATTACTGAACCTATTTAAAAAATTCTTTCACTCTCTCCTTCTAATTAATATTATTTTCTATGGACAGCCCTACTGATTTACGAAGACCAAACCTAGATGTATAAAGCCCATAGATAGGAATTTTGCTTTGTACCTATAAACTGATTTGTGCGAAATTCATACGGCAAATAAAATGACAAACTAAACCATGTTTATTAGTAGCTAACTAGTAATAAAGAGTAAATCAATATATCAGATCGACATTTACAAACGTGATAAGATGATATTATAATATAATGCGATAGTGTTTCTCTCTATATTGTTTTATATATCGGCTATAATCGTCATATAAATTAGTAAGCAATTTATAGACAGACACGTTTTTGTTTACTAATTGGTATACATATGAGAACTTGTTACATTAACATTTCGATTCGTTAAAATAAATGATAATAATATTAAAGGTACCTATCTTTATTTAATACTGTGATATCTATTCTGTTGTATCTTCACTTCACTCTATAATTTAAATAAAAAAAACTTGATGATATAGCGTTAATACAAAGGCATGCACTATCAAAGATATATGTATAATTATTTTATTTCATTGCTTTTATTATAGTCACTTATGTATACTACCTATAGAATATTAAATTTACTTCTGTTATGTTAGTGATTTTCTAGATCTTAATTTAGCCTACCTACATTGTACAACAGAACTTCTATCAATATCTACCCAATAAATTTATGATTTTATTAATTTTTCTTCACTATTAGCAAATTTAAATTAACAATAATATGATCTATATTTATCACTTTATTAAATTATGCGCCTTCTTAGTTAAAACGACACTAAGTGTAGGTAAAATAATTGTTTTATTAACATTTATTGCATAGGTACCTTGATTGTATGGTGTGCGATAGTTACAAGTTTTAGAAATAATATGTATATCTAACATATACCTAAGTAGAATTAGAGATTACTAAAGATTCCTTTCTATATTATAATCAACAAAATGTTTAAATTGTTTTCGTTATTGACTTATGCTTTGGGTATGCGCGTAGATAACTGCCCGTTTTATGAACTTATTTGTTTTGCACATAAAGTAGGTAGACACGTTTTTGTAGCCGAATGTGAGCTAAAATAAATCAAGTAGCTATATAGGTACCTATACAATAAAATGTCGATATCAAATTTTACTTATCCATGCTTATATACATACCACATGTGATGTACGATTTACCCACTTTTTATTTTAATAAAAGGTTTGATCTCATTAAAACATTTTTTTAGGTTATTTTACGTACCTAATACCGTAGTAATATACACAATATAGGAAATGAATCACTTTAGAGTAAGTCACCACGCATTTTGTTTATAAAACAGATAGCATTACGAGAGATAAAAATAATTCTTGAATATTAAGCTGCTGAACACAAATAGTTTTTAAGATATAGTAATTCGACAAAAAAATAATTTATAACACACTGCATATTTAGTTGATATTTTTATAGCAAATAATAAGTAGTATGCATAAATAAATACAAGCTAAGTATATAGATGGTATGTTTATAATCTACCTACTTTATCAATATCAATGATCATTGTGACAACGGAAAAAAATATGATGGACGTTTCAATTTTTTTTGAAGCAATGAACTTATAAGTACTTAAGTAGATATGTATGAGTATGAATATTTTTATTTATTTTGTTAAGTAAGTTTTATAATAAGTATAACTAACTGTCCACGCCACTGTAAATAGATATAGGTAGTAAATGTAAATACCTATGTAGTAAATATAACGACAATGTGCTTACTTTTTTACACAACAAAAAAGTTATAATATACTCACAAATGCACATTTTATTAATTAAGGTGAAGGTATTATCCTTAGGGTTTTTTTTACTAACTGAGGAGTTTTATATTTTTTTTGTATAACATAAAAGTCGGGCTTACCTTCAAGAACAGATCACCAAAGTCGTACAGCGCAGACTGATGCATTATGGCAGTAGACATCATGCAAAAAGAGCTCGACACTCAATCCAGGTTTTCGATTTGTTACCGTAAAAATCTGCCAAACTGAACCACTGAAGCACGAATTTGGAAGGTCGACGAACTCACTGTAATTTTTGATTAGGTTTGTAAATGTCCACGATATTCTTCTACGAGAATTTTACGAAAACTTTTTTATATACATACAGATGGTTTTGGAATAATTTTACGAGTCGTTGCGTGTTTTGTTTTTTCTTAGGTGACCACAGATTGTGTCCGAACGAGTAGGCCGCGGGGTCTATATTCTATATACCCTGAACGATTACAGCCAGATATTTATTTTTGAACACAATTTCGCAATTGTTGCGAAAATGTACAAAACAGTCTTTTGTTTGTAAATCTTCTTCACTTTTTAATTTTCGCGTCTATACGGAAATACACAAGTCAGGTCAAATTCTGCGCGTCAAATTATTGAGTAAAACTTATTTATTCTCGACTTTATACTCCAAAAGGTTTCTGGCCGTATAAATCGCAAGATTAAAAAAAATAAATCGCAGAGTCAATGTCCGCGCAAAACGCACCACACGATCATTCCGTATCACGCTTGTTGCCGCACTGAGCTTGCGTTCGCCTTCGCTTGTGGAAGCCGGCAGCGGACGGGTGGATTTTGTTTTCAAATTAAACAGCGCGGCGCGATCACGTTTTGGAGCGAGATTCGTTTTCCACTCGGGTACGTTCGGCAGTTATCGAGTATATTCGTTTGTTTGTTTTGCTATTTTGAAACTGCAAATGTATGGGAAAGTGTCAACATGATTGTTTAACAAAAGTTACTTTTATTTTTTAATGAATTATATATTGATATTTATGAGTAGGATATATATTTTCATATCTATTGTAATATATTGATTGTAATTCTCCTATGGATAGTCCGTGGATTAAGGATAATAATAATAATATAATCTTTTTAAACACATACAGACATGAAAACAACACCAAAACGACGGCTTTATTGCCATTGCATTAGGTACTAAATAAAAAATAAAGGACTTATTTATTATAATATAAATAGGAATTAAAAATAAAAAGATAAATCGGTATTGAATTACCTCCCTACTACTAGATTTTTTGTTTTTACCAAGGCATCATTCTTATTATACCTTACACAGATAAAGCTATAACAAACCTAAATTAAAAAAGATGTATTTTTTGATCATGTAAGAACGGTTTGGTAAGTGCAAAACAATTGTCACCGTAATACCTCACACATAAAAGAAACTCATTCACTATGTGAAGCTCAGCTAAATATTTCAAATATCTCGATTATTTCTTAGGAAAACTGATGAATTTAAAAATAAACTTTCAATACGTAAACAACGGTTTTAGAATTCTTTGTTACCAAAAAATCTACACGTTTTTGTATTTTTGGCTTTAACGTAAATCTTTTTTTTTATACATACATAAGTCCTACTTACCTGTTTGTGTTGTTAATCAACGAAAAGGATTGACAATGTAAACTCAATGTGTTGCTCTGAAAATAAAGATTTATTTCTTAGTACTTAACAAAAACAAATTATATTACTTCTTAAACTTAAATTACACTTCATAAAATTCCTACCTGAAAATAAAGAAACGACATTTAAAGTTATTTTTTATCCAATCCTCTTGAAAATATGTATTTTTAATAATATTTATAATTTATTTATTTTGACATTACACACTTTTTAATATGTAAGCTTTTTAATAATTTGACATCTATAAATTAGCCGTATTAGAAAACCAAAGAGTTTTTATGCACTACATACTATCTAAATAAATATTAAAGAAATACTTTTTCTTTACATCTCCCCCCTAGGAGAAGAATTTACTGCTAATTAGCAGTAAATTTTTTTAACAAATTAAAAATAAACTTAAAATTACTTAATTTTCACTTTCTTCTTGTGTTACTGGAATAAGTTTTGTTATATGGAATAGATTTGATTCCGATTTATGATGACCTGTATCTATTTTGTATATTGAGTTAGATATTTTTTCTATTATCTCATACGGTCCAATTTTCAATTCTTCTAATTTTTTTCTGTTCAGCTTGTTTCCATTTTCTACATACACCATTTCTCCTACATTAAATTCATATTGCTTCCTATTTTTATCAAAGATTTTTTTATTGTACTTGTGTGATTTCATCGTATTTTCAAAAGCTTTTTTTCTATCTTTCATCCAGTCATTATAACATATTTTTTGTTTTAATTCATTTGGTATAATCGTGACATCTGTACCATACAAAAGATATTTTGGTGCAAAGCCAGTGACTGAATGATCAGTTTCATTGTACTTATTAATGCATTCTTGTGCTATAGATGTCCATGCTCTTTTTTCTTCTTTTTCATTTATTTTACATCTGATTTTATTAACTAACGTTTGATTCAATCTTTCATTTAAACCATTTGAAAATGGCGCATTTACCGCTGTAAATACTATGGGTATATGATTATTATTTAAAAACTCTTTAAATTCTTTCGAATTAATACCCGGATATTGATCAGTAAGCAGCATATTTACATCTTCTATATCGATTATTTTCGTGACCAATTTTATGAAATCATTCGCACTCTGTGTCTTTGATGTTAGAATAAATGCATATCTTGTAAAATGATCTACTAATAAATGAAGATATTTTTTTGTCGATCTTGAACCTCCAAACCCTCCTATCGTGTCAATTGATATGATTTCAAAAGGTTTTGTCGCTGGACCTAAATGAGACATAAATCCGTATTTATTATGTCCTCTTGATTTATTTTTAAGACAAACTTCACAGGTTCGACAAACTTTTTTTATATTTGCTGTCAAATGCTCTGCTGTATAGAACGGACTAACCATCTTTTGCATTTGTCCAAATCCAATGTGGCACAGACTTTGATGTATGTTTTTCAAAAATTCTATGCTAAATTCTTCTGATAATATTATTTTTTCTTTGTCTTTTATCTTTTTGTGGTATAAGTTGTGTTTTTTCGTAAATTTACTTTTATTATTTTGTATGTTTCTATTTTTATTCTGATCCGCTAAAATATCTTCCAACCTTATTAAATTCACAATTTTTAATAGTTCATCAGTGTTTTCATATGACTCCAATACAGGATTCCTACTCAGACAATCTGCTTCTAAATGATGTTTTCCTGGACTATATTTTATTTTGAAATCATATTGTGATAAATAATATGAAAAATCACCTAGTTCTTCATCAGTTCTTGATTTTAAGTTCATATTTTCCAGTGGTTTATGGTCTGAATAAACTGTAAATGATTTACCCATTAACCAATATTGCCAGTATTTTACTGCTTCTTTAATAGCTAAGCACTCTAAATATATTGCTTTCTTTTTCTTTTGGGATTCATTTAGTTTTTTTGAAAAATAGGCCACCGGTTTTTCTTTTCCATCAGGTTGAGTTTGTTTTAAAATAGCGCCAAGACCTTCTATAGAAGCATCGGTATAAATGTTGATTGGAAGGTCTTTATCAAAAATTTCCAAAACTGGTTGAGAACATAATATATTTTTTATTATATCAAACGCCTTCTGGCATTTATCGGACCAAATAAATTTTTGATTTTTTCTTAGTAAGTTATGTAACGGCTCTAATATAATCGCACTCTTGGGTATGTACTCATGGTAAAAATTAATTTTTCCTAGAAATTGTCTAATATTTTTTTGTGTTTTAGGTATAGGAAAATTTTTGATCGAAATTAAATTATCTTTTACTGGTTTAATAGAATTGTTTTGAATTATATGACCGAGATATTTAACTGTATCTGATGCAAAAGTGCACTTTGTAAATTTTAGTCTAAAACCTTCTGTTTTTATTGCTTCCATCAACCGTGTCAGATGATTAACATGATCAGTAAACGTTTTGGAGAAAATTAAAATATCGTCAATAAAGTTCACAGCAAAATCAGTAAGTTTATGTTTCCTCAATATATTACTTAATATTCTTTGGAAAATAGCGGGTGACGTCTTTAGTCCAAATGGAAGACAAGTCCACTGATAATGTCCTTCTTGTGTTATGAACCCTGTCTTTTTTCTGTCTTCTATACGTAAGGGAATAGACCAAAAAGCAGAATTTATGTCTAACGTTGAAAAAAAATTACAGTTTCTGGCCTTTATCATCAAATCGTCGATTAGAGGGAACGGTTGCGCTTGAGGTACTACAATTTTATTTAACTCTCTGAAGTCTATACACAACCGGGATTTTTTATTTTCTTCTTTCTTAAAAGCTAATGTAACAGGTGCAGCAAATGGACTATAGGACTCTTCTATCAAGTTATTATCTAACAGTTTTCCTATTTGTTCTTCTATCTCCATTTTGTCTTCTATAGTGCATCTATAAGGCCTCTTACTACAATATCTGTCCACTAATAAGTCAATTCTCGCTTCATATCCATTAACAGTGCCAACATCATACTTATGTTTTGCAAAAATTGATTTATATTTGTTAATCAATGTGTTAATTTCAGATTTCTGAAATTCATTTAAATGATTTATATTTATTCGAAAATCATTTTCTTTTACATGTTCATTAAAATTAATATTGTATTCTGTTACTGTACTTCTATCTTTTTTTTCATTATTTATACACTGTTTCTGAATTATACTCAGGTCTTCATTTTGAATCAATTTAAATGCTTGAATTAGGTCCAATCCAATCAAAAAATCATATTTAAAATTTTCTTCATCGATAATATATACATCAACATTTTTTTCTATTTCAAATATTTTTAATTTTAAATTTGTCAAACCATTTGCCTTTTTTACACCATTAATTGTTACTAAATTCGCTTGATTCAAAGAGTTTCTGTTACCTTTTATTTTCAATAAATTTGAATTAATTAGGGAAACGTTTGAACCAGAATCATAAATTCCATATATTTCCAATTTATCATTTAATAACAGTTTGACATTTATTAATGGTGTGACTACTCGTTTTTTTGGTTAGTTTCATTTAATTCAGCTTCTATTACAGAATTATTTACATGTTTGATAAAATTTTCTTTTTTCATATTATCTTCTTTTGTTCTAAACCAACATGTAGCTTCAGAATGGTAACGAACGCCCTTATTCAATTTTCCGCAAATTTTACATGGACTTAAGTCATCATATCTACTGTTAACTTTTAAATTGGTATTTCTTTTCTTATTCAAGAAAACTTTATTCTTTACCATATGTTCATATTTGCTCACTTCATTAAATAAATCCACAGTATCTCTTAAAGCTTCTCTATTAATGTTATTAAGTATGAATTCTGGTAAGCCAGCTGCAATGAGATCCACTAAGGTACCTGTATCAATCGAACTTCTCATATCCAATAAAAGTTTTTCCTTTCTAATAGCGTAATCCAACAATGAACCATCTTTATATTTAAATAATAGTGCATAGATGACTGGATTCCATCCCTTATTTGAAAACGATTCACAGAATTTGTTTTTCCATGTCATCCATTCAGCATCCATTGTTAATTTCATCACCATGGAACTGTACCAATCGGCACAACTTTTATCCATAAACAATCGTAGTATTTCAATTTTCTTTGCATCTGAGGTTACCTCAAAACGCAAGCATTCTTTTTCAAAAGTATCAATCCACTGAATTGCATTAAAATTTTTACTTGTAAAT